TGCGCCCTAGTCTAGGGCAAAACTTCATAGTTTAAGAAGATAATAAGAGTACCATGTAAAACCTAAAACTCTGAAAGTCTGACAGACTTGGTTCTGTATCCCAGCTTCCAAACTTATAAGCTGTGTGATGTGCAAATGACTTAGCTACTCTGAACTTTGTTTTAAATGCAAAATTAGTAATAAAGCTGCTAAGAACACAAAATGAAGTAACATTTGGTATGTAATGTACCTGGAACAATGCACATATTCAACAACACTAGTCTCTTCCCTTCCATTTATAACTGATACAAGAATACGCTCAATACTACATATTTGAGCTTCTGAATCTCTATGGTAAATTGGAGTTTCAAGTCCAGCAAAAAGAATAGCTCTCTATTTGACAGACCCTCAACCGCATACTCACTTCCACTGTTAAACAAGGTGGCCTTGGTGAAAACATTAACTTTGGGTGAAAAAGGCACACCTTCCTTCAGCAGGTTACCCCTATTGGGGGAGTTAAACATGGCATAAACACAAAGAATATCTTTAAAAGCTTATCAATAAACATCAATCACTAACATATGAAATTAAGTAAAGTAACCCCATAAGAGAGGGAAAGACAAGCAATGACATTTCTTTATACAGGTCTCTCTTCTCACAGCTCTCAGGAGTACAATCTTATTTACTGTCTACCATGGTTAGGAATATCCATTGGGGATTAGCCTTTCAGAGACACCAGAATTCTTTCTCTTGTCAATATTTTGAATTTACAACACATGAGTATTTTGAATTAGTTCCAGAAGGCTCTATTTTGGGGTGTTCATTATTTCTCAAGATTTCAACACTCTACTTCAACAACATGAAATTTCAAGGGATAAGTATATTAAAGAAGCATGTAGCCCTGGTTGGTGTGGCTCAGTGGATTGAGTGCCGGCCTGCAAACTGAAAAGTCACTGGTTCAATTCCCAGTCAGGATACATACCTGCGTTTCCCGCCGGGCCCAGTTGAGGGTGTGTGAGAGGCAACCGATCAGTGTTTCTGTCCCTCTCTTTCTCCCTCCCTTCCCCTCTCTCTAAAAATAAATAAATAAAATCTAAAAAAAAAAAAAAAAGCACGTAAAACATCTGATTGGGTATTTTATTCTATAACTTCTTGATAATTTTTACATGTCAGTTTTCAAGTTAAGTCATTTTCTAACCACTCTAAATTCCAGCAACGAGAGGTTGAGGAAACCTTCCAGTAATGAAACAAAGGGGAGAAAAGTATGACTTTCTAAAATCTTCCACAGGCACTGATTCACTGATCCTTCCCCACACAGGGATATTCTCTCCTCCAAGGAAAGAAAAAGCTCCAAGATAAGGGCTCCACCCAAAATTTCTCACAAGTGAACCAAGACCAGAACAGAAATGTCCCTGTCAGGCCCATCTTTTGTCTAAAAGACACTGGTGTCTCCAATAAACTCCAATAAACTCTTGTGACTCCAGTCACAAGAGTGAGGTCAAAAAGATTCACTTTTGTGAACTATGTTTTAAATGTTTAAAATGCATAAACTTCTTAAAGAAAACCATATAACTTTCTAATTAGCAAAGTAGTTGAAGAACATGAGAATGTTTCAAATAGCAACACAAAAATTTTTTTAAGAAAATGGAGAGTCAATCCAATAACCGTGAAGTCATACTGTAAGCACATGAATACCACAAACATTCCAGTACCAAAAAAACTGTGTAAGATATTTATAGTTAAATTTAATATCTGGAACCTATACATTCACTGTGCATGTGAATAAGTTAAGAGGCATTAGAGTTAAACATGCCACTTTATAACATGTTCTCACAAGTGCTGGGTGACTTGGGAGTTTAGAACAGTGCTTGGGCATATTTCACAGTGTAAAATGCTCTGTGGGTCAATTTCAAGATATTAACGCTCAAGTTCCTCCATGCAAGGTTGGGTCCATGCAGAACCAAACACTTTGCATAATAAAGCCCAACTCACATAATCCAAGTCAGTGATAATGACAGTCTTACGTATGTTCTTACACACAGGGCAGCCAGTTTTGTTTACCTAAAAACAGGCACATACAACTTAAACTAGAGTAGCAAAATGTTTTTTTAACAGGGGTCATAAGTAGACTTTAGGAAATCCAACCGAATCTTCTCAGATTATATACAAAAATGTAATACATGTATATTTTTCCAGAGAGTTAAAGCCAAAGCTTAATTAAATTAACATAGATAAGCTAAAAAAAAAAAAAATTTAAGAATCCTGAACCCAAGGTCAATCATTACACTTCATGAGAAAGGAGAATCTAAAAACAACCAAAACTGACTTCTGGTCAAGATGGCTCAACGCTTCACACAACCACATCAGCATTACAACTAATACACAGAAACAAACACAGGGAGGCTGCAAAACAAGGAGACAAAGAAACATTGCTCAAATGAAAGACCAGATTAAAACTCCAGAAAAAGAGCTAAACAAAATGGAAATAAGGAATCAGATGCAGAGTTCAAGACACTGGTTATAAAGATGCTCAAGGAACTTAGTGAGTACCTCAACAGCATAATAAAGATCCAGTCAGAAAAGGATACACTAATTGAAATGAAGAACAATTTATAGGGATACAACAGTAGAGGGGATGAAGCTGAGAATCAAATCAATGATTTGCAACATAAAGAACCAAAAAACAACCAATCAGAGAAAAAAGAAGAAAAAAGAATCCAAAAAGATGAGGACAGTATAAGCAGCCTCTGGGACAACTTTAAGAGGTCCAACATTTGCATCATAGGTGTGCCATAAGGAGAAGAGCAAGAAACCAGAAATATCTTTGAAAAAAAACAGTGAAAGAAAACTTCCCTAATTTGGTGAAGGAAATAGACATGCAAACCCATGAAACACAGAGAGTCCCAAACAAGATGGATGCAAAGGGGCCCACTCCAAGATACAGCACAATTAATATGCCAAAGGTTAAAGATAAAGAGAGAAACTTAGAAGCATCAAGAGAAAAGAAGTTAGTTACCTACAGGGGAGTTCCCATAAGACTGTCAGCTGAGCTCTCTAAAGAGGCTTTGCAGACTCTATAGAAGGGATTGGCAAGAAATATTCAAAGTCATAAGAAGCAGGGACCTACAGCCAAGACTGCTCTACCCAGCAAAGCTATCAGTTAGAATTGAAGGTCAGATAAAGAGCTTCCCAAAGGGGGAAAAAAAAAAGGAGTTTATCATCACCACACCATTATTATATGAATGTTAAAGGGACTTATTTAAGAAAAAGATCAAAACTATGACCAATAAAATGGCAAAAACATCCATATCTATCAATAATTGAATCTAAAAAAACAAACTAAGTGAGTAAGAATAACAGAGACAGAATCCTGGACATAGAGAACATTTTGATGGTTGCCTGGGAGGGGTGTAGGGGAGAATAGGTGAAGAGGTGAGGGTAAGAAGTACAAATAGGTGGTTACAGAATAGCCATGGGATGTAATGTATAGTATAGGAAATGGAGTAGCCAAAGAACTTATATGCATGACCCATGGCCATGAACAACGGTGGGGGGATTGCCTGGGGGAGTGGGGGGTGCTGGGTGGAGGGGGGCAAAGGGGGAAAAATCAAGGCAACTGTAATAGCATAATCAATAAAATATAATTTAAACATAAAATAGAAACTAAAACTGCCAGAAAATTATACCCACCTTAAATTTTAGTCAGAATCGTCCCCATTTACATATGTAATACATTTACAAATGGTAATACATGTAAAATTTTTTATAAATTAGGAATACAACACAATCTGACAATTCAAAAGCAGATATTCTGGCTTGGGTTCTGTTACCTACTCACACAACTTCACGTACACCATTTGCCAATCTGTAGAAAGGAAAATAGTAACACTGCAATAGCAATTGCAAATTTGTGAGAAGTGACACTGTAAAAAGGGGAAGAAAAAATCCACAAGATGAAAACTATCTGATCAGTTTTTGTCAATAAGTCAACGTACTAAATAACAAATTATTTGAATGGCTAAGGCAGAAGTTTAGATCTCAGAGAGCCTTGCCCCTTGGATGTTTACTGAAATGTAGATGTACATACATGGTCACGTTCAGGCAATATAAGGAAACTGGAGGTGAAGAAGAATCAAAAACGAATCTGCACTCAATTTTACATAATTCTATAATGTATAGTGTATACCTGTGTCCTTCATTTATACCTGAACCTGTGCCTCTGACGATTAAGGGTTTAAAATAGGCCAAAGTACTTAAATAACTGTGAAAGCTCTGGGATTCATATTGATTATTGGTAATTATAAGCAATAACACCCTGTATGTATAGCCCTTGGCTTTCACATATATTATTCCCTTCTGATCTACTTATACTAATTGTTTCTACTAGTGAAAAATCTATTGAATCTACTCTTGCATCTTATCTTCAGGGACAGGATTTACCATGGGATGGTAAGAGTGTACTCGTTTCCCTGTAAGCGCCCTCTTGCTAGTAGTGTTAGGCATATTTCTTGTCTTTCCTGTCCGGTATTCACTTACTTCTTCAATCATTAAATATTAATTAACGGCCTAGGAAGTGGGGGCAGGACTACATCTATAACTCTCAGGGGCCTAACCTTAAGAGGCCATACAATTGTGTTCATTAACTCTAACTAGACTGTATTGCCAAGTTTTGTTCCTCTAGCTGCTGTGTCACTGGTTAGAAGAGCGAGGACATAAAGTTTGCTTAACTTCTCATTTAGGGCACCAATCCATGCAGTGGGCAAAGCAGATACATCCATCAGTTTGGGGCACAGCCCTGTAAAGAGCATCCACCCTATCCGCCAATCTATCCGCAGCGGAGGCCGGTGGGCGGGGTTTGTAGAAGCCAAGGGAAAGAAGGGAACAGTGGGAGGAGAACTGGGAGTGCCTAGTTGAGCCTGCAACTAGAAGTGACAGGAACGGGGAACCCAAGCCACTGCCAACCGGGGAATATATCCCCTTTCCTTCCTCAACAAGGGTCACGGGGGGCGGGGCGGAGGTACCTAGTTTCTGCCCCAGGTAGGTGAGGCTGTGATAGACCTTCTCGGCCGCGGCCAGGTGGGCCAAGGCCGCCAGCAGCGACAGCCAGCTGCCCCCCGCGCTCTTGTTGGCCTCTCGTTCCTTCTCCACATTGTCCTTGGCCTTGTCGTAAGAGAAGATACCCAGGTGAGAGAAGAACGTCTCCAGCACAGCCTGTTCCACCGGGACCGGGGCGGCCAGCGGGATAGACTCCCCCATGCGAGCTGCGCTCCAGCTCCACCCACGTGGCTGTGCTCTCCCTCGCACTTCCGGGTTCTCAGGGAACGTGCGCACAAGCGTGCGTGCTCGTGACCGCCGCAAGCGGCGGGCGCGCGATCGCGCCGCTGCCTGGACTGCGCCTGGGCCTTACACAGGACGCGAGTAAGAGCCCAGGAAGGAGGTGGTGGCACCTCAGCTCCTGAGCAGGTTCAGCGCTTCAGTTCCCGCAGCTCTGACTATTCCAACCCTTAGGGCAGAAAGCAAGATGGCCAAGTCGCTGCTCCGTGGAGCTGGCCGCGTCCCGAGGTGCGCTCAGAGACCCCTCCCGTGAGACTGCGTCTGTGCTAATGACGTCACGTTTACATGACGTCAGTAGTTCCTAGCCAGATATCTGTCCCGAACTCTCCTTGGGCCTGAGGAGCGGGGCGTGATTGTTAGACTCCTGGCTGGAGGTATGCTCACACGTGACAAGGAGTCCTCATAGTTTTTAAACTAACTCATATAAGTGGTTTATAGGTTAGAAGACTGACATAGGTAAAGGTTTATGTCTTACCAACATGTCTAATTTTTACCCATTCGCAAACTCAGGGTTAATTCTCACCTGTATCTTCTTCTAGTTATCTTAGGTTCGCGCTAATAAAACAGCTTCAGTTACCCAAACTACCTTAAGCATCCTTAAAAATGTCTCAGAATGAAGGAAAAATTAATGTAACTTCTGTTAAAAGTTCTGAATTCATGCACTTTGTCATTCAGATTACTTACAAGTTCCTTTGACATTTAACAAACACCATATACTGAGCATATAGGTATGTAGGTATGTACACTACTCTCTGAGTTAGTTTTTCCTTTCTCCCTCTTTGTACATGCTTTAATTATGCTTCCTAATCTTGATGTATTTAATCACCTATATTTTTACATGTCTATTTTTCCTACTAAGTGAACTACCTAAGGCAGAATATAGGATTCAGTCACCTTTATTATCTTTTCCGAATGGATTGGACAGTGATGGTTATTGAACAAATGAGGGAATTTCTTCATTTTTTTGTCAAACTAGAGCTACCTTTTAATGCAAATCCCGTAGCTTAATTGTATTGAATACAAGTATATATTACACCTGTTCCCTGCTCTCAAGAATGTAATTGGATAGTATCAACCCTGCTAACTGTGGCACAAAGCAGAATTTTATATATTATAAGGCGAAAAAGGAGGCGGCAAACATTTGAGAGGGGAAATGGAGGCTCCCTGGAAGAGAATGTGATGGTTCTTTTATTATAGTATTATTTTTAATCCTGACCTGAGGATATGTTTATTCATTTTAGAGAGAAGAGAGGGAGAGAGAGAAACATCAATGTGAGAGAAGCATCGATTGATTGTATTCCGGATGTGCCCGGACTGGGGATCAACTGGGCGTCAAACCCGCATCCTAGGTATGTGCCCTGATGAGACTCAAACACACAGCCTTTTGGTGCACAGGATGACATCCAACGAATTGAGCAACCCGGCCAGGGCGAGAGTGTGATGGTTCTTGATGAGTGAGTAGAAGCCAGTAGTTTAAGAAAAACAAAACCAAAACTGTGCTAGCACCAAAACCAACAGGCAATGAAAAAGGATTATCAAACTCATAAACGTACCCAAGTAATGGAAGAATTCCTTAGATAGTAAAGGTGGCTTTATAAATCAGTGGGGAAAAGAAAATTTATTCAGTTAATAGTGAAGGAGACATGATTATGAAAAAAACCCTTTACCCTGTATTCTGCAACAAAAGATAATTATGTGTGTAAAAAAAAACAAAACCATAAACAAATTTTAAAAATACAAGTGAAAATTATGTAGGGATAGAGAAGAATCTTTTATTTATAAAATTGGAAGAAATTACAAAGGAAGAGGTAGACTTAACTATATAAAAATAACAAGAGAACACTATACCAACTTGGGGAAAATATTTGTAACATGTCAGACAAAGGTTTAATATGCTTAACATATTAAGGTCTAATAATCATAGAAATGCAAGTTAAACTATTCTATTTTTCACCTATCTCATTTTTTTAAAACTTTTTAAGTGCCAGTAAATATGCAGTGAGTGTTTTTATCTTTTGCAGATGGGTGTGTAATTTGGTGTGATCCTTCTGGAAAACTTTTGACAATACAGTATATATTAAGATTAAATGAGAGTACATGTACGGTGTCTAGAACAGTGTCTAAGACAAATTAGCTGCTTAATAAATATTAGCAATACCTATCGTTGTTACTATTATTGTTTTTGTTTTCATTGGCATCATACCTTTTAATTAGCAGAGTAATTACCTAGAATAATACTTTGAAATTAAAGGATGTTCACTAAGTATTTGATTGGCTGATTCTTCTTGTCTCATAAGAATTTACAGAAAAAGATATGCAGTTAATGACATGTCAAGCTGTTAAAACATTAAAGTTATAAAGCAAGAAGTTACCTTAAATGATCATATGGTAAGCAGGATACTTTGTACAGTACCAATAAATGTTATTGATGATATGTTGCTTCTTTATTGCTGCATATTCAATAACTCCAAAACTTAGTGTCTTAAAACAATAAAAATCATGTATTATTTCTCACAGTTTCTGTGAGTCAGGAATTTAAGAGCAGCTCAATTGGCATTTCTATTTCAGTCTCTCATAAAGTTGAGTCAGACATTGGATACGGCTGTTATCATCTGAAGACTTGTTTGGAGCTGGAGAATCCACTTAGAAGGCAGCTCTTTCACCTGTCTGACAAGTTAGTTGTCTTACAAGACATTTGCTATAGAACAACCTCTTTCATTTCCTTTTCAGTTTATTTACTAAAAAATACCATACAGTTAGCAGGGCATTATGTAACCCTTTAGCACCCAACTTTTAACTAAATATTGAGTTGTCCAAAAAGTCCATTTAGTTTTTTCTGTAAAATAAAAGACACATTTTTCATTTTCACCAATAATTTTATTGCTTTGGATATTTTGAGTATGTCGGCTATCTCCTGCTATTGGCTTCTAATGGGCAGAGGCCGGGGTGCTGCTAAACATCTTCCAATGCATAAGACAGTGCCACAGCAAAGAATTACTTGGCCAAAATGTCAGTAATACAAGACACTTTGCAAACCACTTTTGACATGTTCAGTCAGTCACAGCACCTTCTCCGTATGCTGCACAAATCTTTTCTTGCGTTTCAGTTGCGTTTTAATCTATCTTGAAATAATAAATATAATATGCCTAAAATGTTGTGTCTCTTCTTCCATCTTCAATATTAAAATGGCTGCACAAAAATTCACCATTTTTCTATGCTTCCTTTCCCCTTTATTACATTTTTATTAAATATTTTATTGTTACTCTGAGTTGTCCCAGTTTTCCCCCCTTTGCCCTTCTCTGCGCAGCCCACCACCGTTCCCCCAGTCATCCCCTACCCTGTTCATGTCCATGGGTCATTCATGCATATTCCTTGACTAGACCCTTCTGCCTCTTTCCACCCTTATCTCCCTGCCCTCTCCCCTCTGGTCACTGTCAGTTTGTTCTTTATTTCCATGTCTTTGGTTCTCTTTTGCTTGCTTGCTTGTTTTGTTGATTAGTTTCCTCTTATAGGTAATATAATATGGTATTTGTTTTTCAACGACTGGCTTATTTCACTTAGCATAATACTCTCTAGTTCCATCCATGCTGTCACAAACGGTAGGAGTTCCTTCCTTCTTTCTGCTGCATAGTATTCTGTTGTGTAAATGTACCACAGTTTTTTTATACACTCATTTACTGATGGGCACTTAGACTGTTTCCAGTACTTGGCTATTGTAAATAGCATTGCTGTGAACATAGGGGTGCATAAGCTCTTTTGAAATGCTGTTTTGGGATTCCTAGGGTACATTCCAAGCAGCAGAATCACTGGGTCAAAAGGCAGTTCCATTTTTAGGCTTTTGAAGAAATTACATTGTTTCCCACAGTGGCTGCACCAGTCTGCATTCCCACCAACAGCGCACTAGGGTTCCCTTTTCTCCACATCCTCACCAGCACTTGTTTGTTGATTTATTAATGATGACCATTCTGACTGATATGAGGTGTTAGCTTGTTGTTTTAATTTACATCTCTCTGATGGCTAGTGATGTTGAGCATCCTTTCATATGTCTATGGGCAATCCGTACATCCTCCTTGGAGAAGTGCCTATTCAGAGCCTTTGCCCATTTTTAATTGGATTGTTTGACTTCCTGGTGTTGAGTCATATCAGTTCTGTGTATATTTTGGAGATCAAACCCTTGCCTGAGGTGTCATTGGCAAATATGTTTCCCAGACAGGTGGTTCCCTTTTCCTTTTGATGATGGTTTCATTAGCCATGCAGAAGCTTTTTAATTTGATGTAGTCCCATGTGTTTATTTTTTCATTTATCTCCCTTGCCCTAAGAGATGTTGGCAAAAATACTGCCACATGGGATATCTGAAATTTTACTGCCCATGTTTTCCTGTAGGACTTTTATGGTGTCACAACTTATACTTAAGTCTTTTATCCATTTTTAGTTTATTTTGGTGTATGGTAGAAGTTGGTGGTCTAGTGTCATTTTTCTTGCATGTATCAGTCCAGTTTTCCCAACACCATTTGTTGAAGAGGCTATTTCTACTTCATTGTATGTTTGTGCCCCCTTTGTCAAATATTTATTGACCATAGACATGTGGGTTTTTTTCTGGGCTCTCTATTCTGTTCCATTGATCTATATGTCTGTTTTTGGGCTAGTATTAGACTATCCTGATTACAGTGGCCTTGTACTATAGTTTGATAACAGATATTGTGATCCCTTCTACTTTGTTGTTCTTTCTCCAGGTTGCTGAGGCTATTCGGGGTCATTTTTGGTTCCATATAAATTTTTGAAATATTGGTTCTATATCTATAAAATATGCCATTGGTATTTTAATAGGAATTGCATTGAATCTGTAGATTGCTTATAAAAGTATGGACATTTTAATGATGTTAAGTCATCCAATCCATGAACCTGATACATGCTTCCATTTATTTGTATCTTCCTTAATTTCTTCAGTGTTCTGTAGTTTTCC